CCTAGGGGCTCCCCTGACTCTCATGTCCTGCCTCTCTCCTGGAACTCCCCTTCCACCCTGCACTGCACCAGGGAGTGCTTGACTGCCTTGCAGCTCCTCAAACCCTGCTTTAACCAGGGGGGCGGTTCAGGAGTCATTTGCTTTTTTCTCTCTGCCACTTGCCAAATTCTGAAATCACGTTGAGCAAGCCCACCCACTTCAGGCCTCACTGAGTCCTGTCTTTCATTCCTGGGTTAGAGAAACACTGGGTCCCTGTGAATCAGGTGCCCGAGGGCACATGTGAGCAGATGCTGACGAGATCAGTCCTGCAGGAGCATCTTTACAACAGAACGTGTTATTTTCCATAAGTGGCTTGTTTAATGATCAAAAAAGTCAAATAGCTTTGCTGGTAGGACTTGGGGTTAAAAAAAATGAGGCCTAATTGCAGCTTTTTTCTCCAGCACCAATTCATGAGAATGCCTGCTCGCTGATCCCAGGTGACTGAACCTCCCACAAATGGGTGCTTTGGGTCACAAAGGGGACAGGGTCAAATCCCTCAGGCAAAGAATGACTGAGGTATATGACTCACTGACCAGGCCGGGACTTCACAGCATTCATTCATTAAACAAGCCTGCTGTGTGCCAGGTATCATTCTGGGATGCTGCCCATGACACAGCCCCTACCCTTGAAGAGCTCAAGGACCTTCGTGGAAAATCATTTTGATACGCACAGGACTTGGGACCTTTATTTATTTATTTATTTATTTTTTTTTTTTTTGAGACGGAGTCTCGCTGTGTCTCCCAGGCTGGAGTGCAGTGGCGTGATCTCGGCTCACTGCAAGCTCCGCCTCCTGGGTTCACGCCATTCTCCCGCCTCAGCCTCCCAAGTAGCTGAGACTACAGGCGCCCGCCACCACCCCCGGCTAGTTTTTTGTATTTTTAGTAGAGACGGGGTTTCACCATGTTAGCCAGGATAGTCTCGATCTCCTGACCTCGTGATCCACCCGCCTCGGCCTCCCAAAGTGCTGGGATTACAGGCTTGAGCCACCGCGCCCGGCGACTTGGGACCTTTATGTTCAACTCTTTTTTTTTTTTTTATGTTCAACTCTTTAAAAAATGGTTCCCAGCCCCAGCTCTCTTAGCAAGGCTTTCTAATCCATTATCTCATTTAATCGTACCATGAGTCAGGCAGGGCAGTAATACATGGGAAAGGAGGGTGGGGGTGGGGATAGTGTGACCTGTCCACCAGGTCCTGTTGCAAATTGACAGAGATCCCAGGCCTCCTGTTAGCACAAGCTGCTTCTGCTGTCACACTGCAGCCTTCTGCAAGGATGGGGTGCTACTGTCCTCCTCAGTTTTCGTTCTCTTTCATTTTAAAATGATAAACCTGGGTCACAGGATATTTAGGAGGAGGCATTGTCATTAAGTCCAAGACAAGACGGTCAGGTTTGTTATCCTAGTGGGTTACAATCCAAAATACTCTGGAGCATGCTGAGATTAAGGTGGTTGCCAAGGGAACAGAAAACAGCCATGAGTAAACAAATCAAGACTTAAAAGGATTTAGATCAGGTCTATGGCCAGGTAAGTGCAGAGCTTTGTATCCTGTCCAAGGCCAGGTAAGTGCAGGTCTGCAGTGGGGATCTGTGGCCACGTGGTCACAGATGTGGAAACATCCTGCAAACGCAGCCACGCTGCTTCGTACAGGCAGTGCAGTGGCTGGCATGGGGAGCCAGGTGAGCTTCGTGATGTTGGGGCTTCTGGAACTGCCTACGTCATCCTTGTATTTCTTTGTTAGGAGCAAGTCTGGAGCTAAGAAAAATGGTGTAAGTTCTCAGAAAATGGTTGTTTTTTGGCAAGGGACACGTGCTTCAAGTCGTCCGGTAAGGCGGTCAGCCTCATTGAGAGGGTTTGGTGTCCCACTGCCCAGCCCCAGGGGAGGTGCCTGACAGAGGGTAGACTGCAGTGACCAGAGGCGGCCGCTCAGCCATGCAATAGCACAGGCCCCTCAGGGACTTGGCAGAGGGAAACTGGTGGGAGTGGGGGATGCTCCTGAAACCTTTTGTTATTATTTTTAAGTGGTTTGAATTTGGTAAAGAAATATCTTTGGCCTTTAGGCAGGAGGAGGAGTATTGGGGCCAAAAATAGCGTGTTCTCACTATCACTGTTCTTCCTGGATTGTGGCAGGGGCAGTGAGAGAGGGACTCCCTTAAGTTATCCCTTAGGTTAAAAAGAGAACAGCCTCTTGGGTTGACTGGGTTTGGAGGAGGTGTCCTAAACAGGCTGTTCAACAGAGAACTTTTCGAGATGATGACAGCGCTCTATTTCTGTGCTGTCCAGACCATAGCCACTAGCCACATATGGCTATTGAGAATTTAAATGTGGCTGGTGCGGCTGAGAAACTGAACTTTATTCAATTTTAATTAATTTAAATAGCCCCAGGTAGCTACCAGGCAGCACAGCCCCAGGGATGATAGGATGACACTCCTATTGATAAGAAACTAGAAACATTGTTTCTTTTCCCTTCACCTTCTCCCCTCAGCTCACCACCTAGGTGAGAGCCAGATAGTTCTGGGGTTCAATTCTGGCTTTGTCATTTAAACCATAGGTCCTTGGGCAAGTAACTTATGTAAAGCATGGGGGTATAGTGCCTGGCACACAGCAATCACTCAATAAACGGTAGCTATTGTTGTTTTAATAAACGAGAGTGGTTACTTGCAGAGCAATTGTGCCCATGGAAAGGGAAAAAAGGGTTTTCCCTTGTTTAGCTTAACCCACACAAAGAATTAACCATCCCCAGTGTGAAGCAGGCCTGCTGCAAGTTTAAGGGTTTGAATTGATGTCATAGGTCACATACTGGGTTTTAATTCCAAGGAAAGAGAACTTTGGAGCAGATGAGGCCTCACGCTGAGCCTCACATCTTCATCCAGGTCTCTGCAGAGCCACTCAGCCCTCACAGTTGTGGCTGGGGCGGCAGCTTTGCCTGTACCTACTCATTCCTCACATTGCATCAGCACTCCTTCTCCTCCAAACCCTTAGGGCCATCTTTTCTCTCTGCGCAGCCTTAGCTATCAGTAGCTTGCAGAGGAGCGTACGTTCATTAAACAGACATTGACTGAGGACCTATTATACGCTGGATGTGTGGGACACAGAGATGCTAAAATAGTCCCTGCCCTTTGAAGTTCATAACCTGGTGGGGAAAACAAAAGTGTGCTAAATTCCAAATCTGGGATCAGCATAAGGTGCTTTAGAGAGAGAGATCAGACTGATGTCCAGTCCTGGGGAGATGGGAGAGGCTTTTCAAGGGGGAGATGGTTGCCCTACTGAGTGAGGAAGCCCTGGGGACGCAGCCCCACAGGAGGAGCTGGAGGATGAGGGGAGCAGGGTCTGGAGCTGCCCTGAGGAGGCCCATGGGGTGATCTGTTTGTCCACCTGTTGTGCCCCAGAGTGACTACAGTGCAGAGTCTGGGACAGGGTTCACCTGAACTACACATCTACCCATGCTCTACAGGAGCCATGAGCTACGCGTCTACCCACACGGGAGCCGGGTCTGCTGTTCTCCAGGACGCCTTGGTTGTGGGTGTTCCAGGTCTTTGTTAAGGTCCAGAGTCCAGCTGCCACGTGGACCTGTCAGGATAGTGGTGATCCCTGTGCCAGCCACTGCGCTGCCTGTATGAGGAAGCATGAAGCAAGGCTGTGTTTGCAGGGTATTTCCATATTGGCACTCCATCGTGCTCACCGCAGCCCCTAAGAATGGGGTGATGGGGAACCTTGGGGGAGACAGGAGGGGGGTGTGTGTGCACGAAACTACAGAAGTGAAGTGCCTAAGCTCAAACTACAGTGGCAGAGCAGAGAATGGAGGCCTCTGGGAGCCCTTTGGGCCTTAGCTTCCCTGTTGAGACACGGCAGGTTTGAGGTGGTATTGCCTGTGTCTGTGTCCACCCCCATCCCCTAGCTGTGTTCTTTTCCTTTCTATTTTGGTTCAGCTTACCTAGAAAATGCTGCTAAAAATATGGGAGACATCCTCAGGCATATTATTGATTTTGCTTTTGAAAAACATGGTCTTCACCAAGTGTCCCCATTTCTCTTTGGTCTGCAGAGGAGATGAACACTGGGAGCTCTGGCAGGTGACAGCAGGGGCTGGAGAGCAGGGCAGTGTTGATGTGCTTTGAGTGGAGGCACAGGTGGGGTTGGTCATGAGCACCTGGGGTGCTGGTGTCAATGTGTGGGAACTCAACATCTGCCTTATGGACTCGTTTGTCTTTCCAGTATTCCCTTCCTGTTGTCTCTGTTTAAAATACCAATTTCCTTGGGACGAGGAACTCCAAAAGTCCCACATCCAGCAGTGAGGTGTCTCCAGGAGCAGTGAAGGGATGGGGTGGGGGTTGGGGTAGGAGCGGGTTCTCCAGAGGCCACAAGCAGACGAGTGGGGCCGGGTGGGGCAGACTGGTTCTCCGAGTGAGCTGTGAAAGCAGGCAGGCCTGGCCTCCCCGCCTGGTGTTGGGGGAAGGGGCTGATTTTACAGCCTAGGGGCTCCCACCTGGAATTCTCCAGTTCCTAGGCTCCAGAAGGCACAGTGGGCACCTACAGAGCTGCAGAGGGGGCCCTCATGATATCGGGAGGCCCGCGTCTCTCAACACCCTCCATCAGGGACAGCGCCACTCCAACTGCCACATCCACTGTCTGCTGCAAGGATCCCTGCCTGGGACTTGGAGAGTCACTTTTCTCCACCTGGCAGCTACAAAAAGGCCACAGAGAAAAAAGCCAATTTAATGTTCTTCTACCACTTGTGACTTTTAAAATCGCTTTTCCTCTCAGGCCTCTGTTTCTTTGTCTGTCAAATGTACACCGTCAGGCACGTTCTCACTGGGGCCCAGGTGTTTACTTCCCTGTTGTCACACCCTATTTGTGTCTGAGTGTCTCAGTCCCAGGGCGGTGCAGTGGAACTCAAGCTGGGTCACGGTGCCGTGTCCCCATCTGGGCTCTGCTACTTAGAGCTGTGGGTGTTGGAGGAAGCCACTCTGTGTTTCAATTTTATTTTCCTATCTATAAAATGGGATAATATTAATACCCACACAAGCTATACCCACACAAGCTAGGGTGCACATGGTTATTGGAAGGTTTCCACGAGATCATACATGGAAAAGGGCTTTGTAAAAGGCAAGTTATGTCCAACTAAGGGACATTATCATTAAATGGCAGCTGGAAGCTGTAATTTGGTTCTGCCCTCTCACACCCGCTGCTACTTCAGACATTCTAAGTTGCTCTTCTATGGGATATCTCTGGCTTGACTGCGGGTTCCGTTCTGAGGAGGTGTGGTCAGTAGGGACCAGATGTCTTCTTCCTTTACCTCTGGTCACTCTTAGTGATATAACCCAGGCCATACAGTCAGACAGACTTCAGCAAAACTGTCAGCGAGGGCAGCTCCCCGATTCGGCCCCTTTGACTGTTGTCTCCAGTCCTGAAACCCTCGCCCCGGGCCGCTCCGCCGCCGGGCTCCGGCGCTCAGTCCATATTACTCGCGGAAAGGCCGGCGTCTCCGTCCGACCCTCTTTCCTGGTCGCTGGGGGCGGTTTGTGGGCCTGGCCTTGGGATTAGGAAAATAGGGATGGTGCCTATTTAGGGATGAGGCCGAATGCGGGCCTCAGAGAATCCCGAAAGGGGGAATGTCTGGATCGGCGGATCGGACGTTCAGGCCCAGGAACCGGCCCCCGCATGGTCGCCGCTCAGGCGCGGGCGCAGCGCTAGCAGCCTCGTTTTCCGCCAGCCGGGCTGCCGGAGAGTTAGACCTCCCAGCCTCACGGGGCTGCTGTGCGGCTGCAGCGACGCCGGCGACTGCGGCGCTGCAGCGGAGACGGAGGGCTCGGGAGGCGGCGCCATGTGAGTCCGCGCGGGGCCGCGCTGGGGCCGCGGCGAGAGGTTACCGTATTTACCGAGGCCAGAGCCGGACCCTCGAGGGCGGGTCACTGCGGGCGCGCTACCGTATTTGCTGGGTCCCGCGCAGGTCCTTTCCGGGAGTGGGAGCGCCGCGACTTAATTACGTATTTATCCAGGGTTGCGTGGTTCCGCGGGGGGCGCTGCGGCCACTGGGGGTGGGCTGCATTCATTCCCTCCGGGAGCTGGGGCTTGCAGTCGGGCGGGGTGGGTTGCGGCAGCAGGGTGGAGGCCTACGTATTTTCGTGGGGGTGGGGTTGCGACGCAGAGTTTACCATATTTCTCCAGGGTTGCTCAGGCCGCAGAAGTTGGCAAGGTTGTGTGTGAGGTCGGGTGGGGTGGGGTCAGCTCTCCCGATTAATGCAGCTATTTGATAAAAGCAACGTCGCGGGAGGCTTGCTGTCTTTATGGGGGCGGGGAGAAGGGGCACGGGAGTCGCTGCGGGAGAGTTACCGTATTTGCGTTGAGCAGCACAGACTGTAGAGAAAAGAGCTGCGGCCGGAGACCGGAGGAGCAGGGGCTCAACTGGGCTGTGAGTGTGGCATGGGATGAAAGAACTTGGGGGAGAGACGGGGGGCCTCTCGACGTGCAGGCGGGGCCTCAGTCAGGGGTATAACTGGGGAGAGTGAGGAGGCTGCCCAGTCACAGGGCCAGGCTGAGATTGGCCAAGGGGACTTTGATGATTTGTCTTTGCAAATGTCAGTGCAGTTGCCTGTGGAAAAGACTTGTGGGTGGGGTCTCTTGCAAGTAGGACTTGTCTCCTTCCCCAGGGTGTCAGTTCCACCCTGGCCTCGAGGGTAGGGAAGACAGAGGAGGTGGCTCTGAGACCTCACTCTGCAGATAGGTTGGCTGAGGCTGGAAGTGAAGAGAGGCCTTCGGGAAGGTCCAGTGGAACACTCAGTCCGCTTCCCTGATGGGGTTGGGGGGAATGGATGAGGCAGGCCTTGGGGCTCTGCAGGAGCCCAAGTTTTGCGGGGTGGGGGTGGGGGTTCGTGGGAGTAGTGGCGGTAGACAGTACCTCTACAGGAGAAGTGGCCCTTTGGAATGCATGGCTCTGTGACAGCTGGGATGGTGGCAGTGGGGGGTGGGTGTGTGTGTGTTTTGAGGAGTGTTTAGTTGTTGAGCAGCTAGTACATTGAAAAGAGCTTTCAACAGTGAGGCAGGAGACTTAAGGCCTAGTCCAGGCTCCCCTTGCTCTGTGACCTTGGCAAGTATGTTGACCTCACTGAGCCTCAGTTTCCCCAACTTTAAAGTGGGGCTCAATAACCCTGCTCCGCCCCTTTCTCAGGGCTGTTGTGAGGACAATGGGAAACAATTTAAGAGGAATACAGTACCCTGGGAAGAGGATCCTTTGGAGAACCAGCATGAAGGGAGCTGGGTTTGGGGGTGTTGGCTGGGCACTGAGTGTGCTGCTCAGCCCTGGGTCAGGCTTTGCTGTGAGGATACCAAGAGGAATCACACTGAGACCAGTCCCCCTGGGAGCCCACACCCTGGTTCAGTGACTTGGAAACCTTTTGAACACATGCCTCATTTTGATAAACAAAGAGCTGCTGCCTTTAATGTTAACTGAGGTCACTTTCAAGTTTACAGGGTTGTGTTTTTGTTTCCTGTTTTAAGCTTCGCAAAAATATCTCTAAATCACTGATAATCCCACCCTTTTCTCCAAGTTTGGGGTGCACTTCCCTACCTCCCTCTGTCCTTGAGATCTGGTTGGAGGGATAAGACATATCTAGACGAAGGTAACTGAAAATCCTAGCTGAAACTGAAACTGAAACTCCTAACTGAAACTCATCACCATCTGTCCAGTGTCTTGTGTGGCTGGCTGACATGCTGCTAGGTGCTGGGGTTGAAAGAAGGCAGCTCTGTCCTTAAGGTGCTGGGAGTCGGGGGACAGAGGTGGCATGACTGACCCTTGTGCAGTGTGATGAGTGAGGGCCACATGGTTGTGTCACACGGTGTAAGCCTGGGGTGGAAAGGTCGGGGAAGGCTTCTAGGAGAAGGTGCCCTTGGGAAGGGCCTGAAAGGAGTGTAGGCCGTACTTAAAAGGCAGTGGAGGAAGAACACCAATTCCCAGCAGGGGAACTTGAGCTTAAACAAAACGGGGCGAAAGGTGGAGGTTGTGGGAGGTGAGGTTGGGGGTTGGCTAACTCTCGGGTCCCCCGACCCCTCTCTCCCCCCCCCCCCCCCGCTTCTGTCTCCCTAGGGACTGGTGATTGCAGCTGGAAGTGCCCATGACCGAGCTGGCGTCCTCCGGGGGCGGGTCCCCTGCGGGGGACGGGGAGGAGGGTCTGGGGGACGAGCGAGGCCTGGTCATCCACCACCCTGCGGAGGAGCAGCCGTACCGCTGCCTGCTGTGCGGCCAGACCTTCTCGCAGCAGCCCAGCCTGGTGCGGCACCAGAAGGCACACGCCGGGTCGGGCCGCGCGGCTGCCTTCGTGTGCCCCGAGTGCGGCAAGGCCTTCAGCGTCAAGCACAACCTCGAGGTGCACCAGCGCACGCACACCGGGGAGCGGCCCTTTCCCTGCCCCGAGTGCGGCCGCTGCTTCAGTCTCAAGCAGAACCTGCTCACGCACCAGCGTATCCACAGCGGCGAGAAGCCGCACCAGTGTGCGCAGTGCGGCCGCTGCTTCCGCGAGTCGCGCTTCCTGCTCAACCACCAGCGCACCCACGCGCGCATGCCCGCGCCCCACCCGCGCCGCCCCGGCGTTTTCGGGGAGCGGCGGCCCTACTTCTGCCCCCGCTGCGGCAAGAGCTTCGCGCGCGAGGGCTCGCTCAAGACCCATCAGCGCAGCCACGGCCACGGGCCCGAGGGCCAGGCGGCCCACTTAGGACGCGTGCTATGATGCGCCCGGGGCCTGCTGCCGACTGCTGCTTCCTGCCCCGCACGTGCGTCCCCGACCCCTGGAGATGGCCCTGGGCTGCAGCTCCCTCTCTGGATGGGATCCCGGGAGAGGGGCAGCGTTGGCTTGGGCTCTTGAAGGTGTGGGCCGCCGCCAGGCTCCGGCCGCCCCCTTGCGTTCCTCCCTCGGGACCGTCTGGCTGGCTGCGCACAGCTGCTTCGGTCTCCTGCCATGGTTCTCCTTCTCTGGCCCATCCGGCCTAGAGCAGGTGAGACCTGCGGGGCTGGCCAGAGCCCCTCTCAGGGCTGGGGGTGGTGGGGGTGGGGTGGGTGGTGTTAATTCTTGATGGCAGGTGGGGCGGTCTGGGTCCTGGGCTGTAGGTTTCTCTGTGACAAGCTGCTTACCGGATCTTCATCCCCAGAATGTCAGAGTTGAAAGAGACTTGGAGAGGGCCACTTTCCACAATCCCCACGCCCAACCTCAGCCCCCAGGCCTCCTGGCTCCTGTACACACTCTCTGCTGTCCTTGAGATGTCATTTCACTTCATGTTTCAGTTTGCTCATCTGTAAGTTGGGGATATAGATGAGGGGCTCTTCCTCGCTGGGATATATTGCAGCTACTGGATGAGAGAGGGTGAGGTCACTGGTGCACAGAGCCTTAGTTGATTCTGCCACACCATGTGCCACTGACTGTGCCACGCGGGGCTCTCCCAGAGACACACATGAGGACCGCAGGCCCTGTCACGGGGTGCTTACACTCGGTGTGTGATGTGGGGCCAACCTACAAAGTGCTCTGGGGTGAGACCGAGAAGGGTGACTGGCTTCTCTTTGTCACCCAGGGGAGTTTGATGGCTTTGAACCAGGTCATGGGGACAAATAAAATTGTTCTAGGAAGAGCAAGTGTGTAGAAGGGTGTTTTCAAGGCGGTGTCAGTCAAGGTGACTGACTCCAGGTGTCCCAAGGGGAGGTTTGCCCTACAGAGGACTTCGTGGTCAGGGGGCGGGGACCCTGAGATTTTTAAAGAGATGAGTGCTATGATCTCAGACTTAGGCTTTAGGAGGAGAATCAGCGGCACTGTGAGGGCAGACTGATGTGGGAAGATCTGGAGCCTCGAGGGGCTTGGGTCATCTGGGCAAGAGAACATGAGGCCCCCAGCTAAGAGGCCTGGCCAAGTTCTGGCAATGAGAAAGAGGGCAGCCAGGACCTGTGATTCCAAGCTGGCGCTCTGAGGCACAGGCCTCTTCAGCCTTTTGGCAGATGAGGAAACAGGTTTGCCAAGCTTGCCTACACCACAGTTGGTACTTACTGGTACAGTGGGTGGAAACCAGGGCTTTGTTTTGGTTTCTGAATCCCAGAACCTTTTAGCTCCACTGCTAAAAAGTGGACGATGGAGCAGGGAGGATTTGGGGCCACGTGATAGGAGCTGGGGCAGGGGTGTCAGGGGTGGTATGGGTTTTTGAAGGGGACATGGCATCCTTGGGAGTGGTTTGGGAGGAAGGGAGCTGGGTCTTCGAGCGGACCTGCATGTTCAGTCCTGTGCTGGGTGCTGGAGACTTGTCCCTCCCCACTGCCCCCCTCTGCCTGTCCTCGGTGCTGTGTGGCTATGGCTCCTCAGAGACTGTTTGTCCTCTCCCTTCTACTCCCAGGTGCTGTAGACTAGCATTGGTGGCAAAGATGAAATTAAACAGGGACTTGGGACACCTGGAGTCAGTCACCAAAATGCCCTGAACCCAAGGTGTCTCATCTGTAAATGGGATTAGTAATCCTTGCAGTGCTGGGTAGGGGACAAAGAGCATTCATTCAAGCCCTAGGACAGATTCAGGGTAGGCCAGCTGATCGCTCCCTCCTAGCCCCAGAGGGGTGGCTGGGCAGGGCCATGTCATGGCACCACACCTGATCCTGATCTCTTTGTTTTTGTGGACAGATGCAGAGTGGGCAGGATCCTATGACCCGGTAGGTGCAGGACCCATCTGGACATGGAGACCAGGAATGGGGTGCCGCGGGGGCCTGGCTGGCACTGCACCTGGGCATGAGGGCACATCCAGTAAGAAGACCTGCCTCAAGAGGTGCACTGCGGTGACCAGTGGAGGTGACTGGTTGGAGACTGGAATTGGTGGCAGATTCCAAGCTCTGGTGGACAGATTCCCCAGGCCTGGTGGGAATCGCAGCTGGGGCAGACCTCATCCTGGCTGCCTGGTCACAGGCCCCCACTGTCTGCCACTGGTGGTAGGATGTTGCTTGTGTGGAGAGCTGGCTTCTCTGCTCCCACCTGGTCCACCACTTGGCTAGAGTTCAGAGACAGGAAGTGACTGGTCTAAGCTAACACAGCAAGTTGGTGGCCGACCTGGTTCTAGAGGCAAAACCTTCTGCCAGATGTGAATGAAACCTGCAGGCTTCATTTTCCTTTCTTTTTTTTTTTTTTTTTTTTTTGAGGCAGAGTCTCGCTCTGTGGCCCAGGCTGGAGTGCAGTGGCCGGATCTCAGCTCACTGCAAGCTCCGCCTCCCGGGTTCACGCCATTCTCCTGCCTCAGCCTCCCGAGTAGCTGGGACTACAGGCGCCCGCCACCTCGGCCGGCTAGATTTTTGTATTTTTTAGTAGAGACGGGGTTTCACCGTGTTAGCCAGGATGGTCTTGATCTCCTGACCTCGTGATCCGCCCGTCTCGGCCTCCCAAAGTGCTGGGATTACAGGCTTGAGCCACCGCGCCCGGCCCATTTTCCTTTCTGAGCAGTGCAGACGCGAAGCCCTTGGAAAATCTGATGAAGGTTACGGACCTTCCCTAGGAAGACAGGTAACTGACATAGACTCAAAAACCCCAGGCAATTTCAGGAGCCACTGGACTCCCTGAATGAAACCCATCCCTGGACTCCTCAGCCCTGAGGACTTCACCTGCTGCCCTTTCCTTACCTGTCACACATTGAGCCCCGAGTCAAGGCCACTGTACAAGTAGTGCCCCTCCCTCCCCCTGGCCAAGCCTCCTTCCCTTGTTCAGGAATAAAGAATTCCGAGGAGGAGACCTTTTTAGTCAGTCCCTTCTCCCAGACCTAAAGAATGATGCATCAGGTTTCTGGAACCTCATTTCCCTTCCCCAGACATTGGCAGAGGTCCCTTGGGCTAGATTTTCTCTTCTGGTTTTGTGTTTCTTGTTTTGCCTGACTGGCAGCTGGCTTCCATAAAGGAGCCCTTTGCTCCTGGCCTGGGCTCTGATTTCACTGGACTGCTGTGGACGCTGGTGGGAGTTTGAGTTTGGTCTGAGTCTGCCCCAGGGAGAAAGAATCCTGCTTCCACCAACCAAGCCCAGTCAGCCGGTGCCTCCCAGCTGGCCAAGTGTTCAACCCAGTGGGCTGGGGAGGAAGAGGATGAGGGCCTCGCTCCTGGTGCCTGTGGCTCTGGGCAGGGGGAGAGGTCGGTGGAGGGGCTTTCTGTGTGTTCTCTGAGTGTGCAGCAGTGCAGTTGAAGGGAACAGGGCCCAGGCTGGCAGCAGGGAGAGGACTCCTCCCATCTTCACACCTGAACCAGTCAGCCTGGAAGCCACAAGTTCTCACTTGCTTCCCCAGAATGAACATCAGAAAAGGCAAAACTGACCAGGGCTGGGATGGGTTTGGGTCAGGGTGGTTGGAGGGCAGCCTGTGGATTCCTGCACTGGAGTCTTGCTGTCTTCGATGCCGTTTGGATCATACATTCTTACATCCTACTGTATGCCTCACCCTGGAATAGCGGAATGCTCAGGGGGAGATCCGAGAATGAGATGGTGCTCCCAGCCCCAGGAGCTTCCAATCCGGCTCTGATCCTTGGCTGACCTAGAGGAAACCTCCACACACACTCCTTCTCTGCTAATGGTGCCGTTTGTGTCCCCCTCTGCCCATCACTGTGCTGTGCTCATTCCTGCCTCTGTGCCTTCCCCTGTATTGCTCGGACATGTCCCCTTTCCTCTTCTCTACCCAGCTAAGCCCTTCTGATCCACGGGGCCCGGCTTCCCAAACAACCCAGCCCACATTCATCCTTCCCTCTCCGAACAGGCCCTGTGTGAGCCCCCGCCCCCAAACTGCGTGCTGTCCCACAGATGCTCCAGTCTCCTGTGTGTTTTGAGTCCGCAACTAGACAGTGAGCTCCCTGAGGGCAGGGGACTGTCATTTCCTCTTGAGCCCTACCAGGGTCTAGCACCGAACTGGGCTTCTAACTCTCAGGAAACACTTGTCGACTGCCTCAAGCGCCGGAGCTTGTCGGTGGCCGGTAATGGGCAGTGCACGTGGGGAGAGGGTATGTGAGTTAACTCGAGGGTGCCTTTTATTGGGCTGTGGGCTGGCTCCCCTGGGCCAAAAGTGGATGTCGGAGGCCTCAGGCTCTTATCTCCTTGGGGCAGTGGGAGCATCAGGGACCCCTCCCCTCGGCTCTGCAGGAGTGCACAGAAGTGGTCGTCCAGCCTGGATATTTCTACAGGTCGCTGACGCCTGCGGGAGCTGCCTGAGTGAAATAAATGTTCTCTCGACATCAGCTAGTGTAAGGAGTGGTCATTTGGGGCTTAGTGGGGAGCAGAGTGGTGGCCTCTGTCTCTGCCTCCATCATCTCTTGAGGAATTGTGTTTCAAGGTTGCCTGGTAACCAAAGACCCTAGAAGACACACATGAAAGCCTCAGTGATGAGCTGCTGTAGGCTTCCGGCACCTGCACAGTGACTTCTCTTTGCATCTGACTAACAGATACAGGGGCTGCAGCCCTTGCTGCCTGCTCAGCCCACGGTGAGGCCAGACTTGCCGAGAAGCATCTGACAGTTCCCTCAGTGCCTGAGCAGTGGACCGCTAAGAGTACTTGAGTCAGGAGACCAGGCCTCTGTGCTGGTCCATCTCCAACGGGAGGTCTCAGCCAAACACACACCCCTCCTGATGTTAGTCCCCCTCCTGCTTCTCTTCCTTATGGAGTTGTGAGGAGTGAACAAGTAGATGTGTAAAGGATGCAAGTGCACAGCGCAGCACAGAGACTCTACTGTCCCTCTTTGGCCCCCCCACCCCCAAGCAGGACCTGGCTGCAGTCCGCCTCTCGCAGAGCGCTCTGGACAGCTGACCCTCTGTCCTGCCTGCTGCCAGGTGGCCATGAGACCTGGGTAAGTAACTTCCCTCCTGTCAATGGAATGCCTGGCTGGAGTGCGGTGGGCTCCCTTCGGCACCATGACCCTGTGCTGCGCCCTCTGACTCTGACTTCTTCCATGGCCTCTGTCAGCCGGGAGGGTCCTGCGAGTAAGGAACTTAGGGACTGTGCCTTTGAAACATGGGTAGGTGATGTTGGGAGTGAATCAGGCAGGGCTCTCTGTGTTCAACTCAGATTTCAAAAAAGGAAATGATGAGCTCGTCTAAATGAAAAGTACAGTGACTCGATGGTCACACGGACCCAGCCAGGAAGAAGCAGCCGGCAGCTCAGCCTTCTGCCTGGCAGCTTCAGTCCTTCTCTAATGGATCTGAGACAGCGGAGGGCCTACTCTTGCTGGCCTGAATTGGGTTAGTGCCCACTACTAGACCCGTCTCGGTGACCAGGGGAGTGCAGGGTTCTGAAAGGCCTTGTCACACGCACACCCATGGCCGAGGGGGCTCGGCTGCACCTAGAGTCCACGTGCTGAGAGCGGGAAGGTTTTGTTCAGCAGAGGAAAACCAGAGATGAGAAGACAGGTCGATGGACTCCAGGCAGCAGACCCACACTCTTGCTATGGGGACGGGGTGGAGGTGGTGCAGGGAGAGGCCAGGCCAGCAGCGTTGGTGTCACCTGGGAGTTATTAACGACAATTGCAATTCCCACCCCAGACTCTAATCAGAAACTGCATGTGCGCAAGATCCCAGGCGGTCAGCATCTGCTGTCACACCCAGTGCCACTTTGCCATTGCCCTTCAAGGAGGGCCTTTGATTCAGACATTCCATTGGCCCTGCTGCTTGCCGGGAGGACAATGATGGGGGTTTCCTTTTAGGCAAGCTCCTGGGGTGTAGAGACAAGGTCTCGGGGCCCAGATACCAGCCACCGCCACCCCCACCCTCCAGGACTGGCGCACCCATCAGCAGGGCCCATCCTGACCTGGCCTGCCCAGCCTGGCTGTATAGAAATTTCCTGGAGTACAGACGCAGTCCAGGAGGGAAACACCAGGGGAAAGGCCAGTCCTGGGCACAGAAGCAGGCAGCTTGCACAGCATGGCTCTTCCACCCGCTGTCTGGGAACCCTCTCCCGGTTTCCATCTCCACCCTCCTTAAGGCCTCCTTAACTTTTTTTTTTTTTTTTTTTGAGGTGGAGTCTCACTTTGTCACCCAGGCTGGAGTGCAGTGGCACTATCTCGGTTCGCTGCAACCTCTGCCTCCCGGGTTCAAGTGATTCTCCTACCTCAGCCTCCCGAGTAGCTGGGATTATAGGTACATGCTACCACATCTGGCTAATTTTTGTACTTTCAGTAGAGATGGAATTTTGCCATGTTGGTCAGGCTGGTCTTGAACTCCTGACCTCAGGCGATTCACCTACCTCGGCCTCCCAAAGTGCTGGGATTACAGGCGTGAGCCACTGTGCCCAACCCTCTTTAACATCTGAGCCTCACCTTTCTCATCATGCCCGTGGTGGAGACACCTGCTGTGATGCTCTCAGAGCCCCAGCCCAGCCACCTTCCAGTGGTTGTGAGTGTGGGCTGCTGATGGCCTACAGCTGCCCAGCCTGGGGGCTGCCCCTGGCAAATGACTGCCCACACAAAGGGATCAGACTGAATCTCCTCTCCCGGGGGAACATTGTTGGCTTCTGTCTCTGCCCTGTGCTGCTTCCTGCCACTCTCCCTCTCTAGAGCCCTTCCCTGACCATTCTTACCCTCCCTGCCTGAACAAGAATCCTGTCTCAGGCTCTACGTCTAGGATCCCCACCCTAAGGCAAGGTCTTTGAAGAACACAAGCTGAAAGCATCTTGCACACAGTAGATCATGACCCGCCCCTTTCTTTGGCAGTTCATTATGACACTGGTTACCTCTGAGCCTTCAGTGAGCTGCTGCTGGATGAACGGACTGGAGGTGACCATCTCCTTGGTGAGAGGCCAGGTCAGAGGACCTAAATGCTGGTGGCCCTCACCAGCTGCACTGAAGCCCCTCTCCACTGGAAACATGGGACAAGAGTCAAATTCACAGGTCAAGGGTTGGGGTCTAGTCTGATCACGTGTCTTTGGCCAAGGTCCTTACCATCTCGAGGCTCAGTTTCTGATACATGAAATGAATGGGGTGCACTGGCCAACCTCAGGTTCTTCTCTGATGCTTCCCTGACTGCTTGTGTGGGCCTCTTTTGGGTGGTGACCCCCTAGCTCGGCTGAGTGGCCAGGCCTCACAGGGTAGGCTGGAGAGGTCCCTGGGACACTGCTCCTGCTCCTCTGGGCTTGCCACCATTCCTGTGACTCAGGCTTTGCTCTCTGCTAGGCTACCACCATCTCTGCTCTGTACAGATGCTTGGTGAACTGACACTGGATTTTTTTTTTTCTTCAAGCAGGAGAACTGCAGTTGCTAGCGGTTTCTAGCAGCAGACACAGAAAGTCCCCTTGGAGCGGAACTTCTTTGTTTCTGGAAGGTCATCAGGCCTTTGCAGTTAAACCAATGCTAAACAAATACACACTGCTACTCTTGCACTGGCCTTGGACTTGGAAATCATCTCAAACACAGACACTTCAGGCTGGTGTGTTTGCTCTCCTGTTTCATAACAATCACTGTCAAAAGGCTGTTGTAAGGCAGAGCATCAGGGACAGGGGCCTCTGGGGTGTGGGAAGGACCTGAAAATCTCTCTGTGGGGAGGGGCTGAGCTGATCCTTCCCCTGGCACATGGAAACCTGCTGGGGGATGGCAGGGTCCCCTCCCCTGAGATTGGGTTTAAAGCATGTGGGTTCAGGAGAACCTGAGTTTATAGGAGTAGTGAAAACTCTGTCGATGTGTGGGATGAGAGCGTCTTCTGGAGAGGGTGACATGATGGTGCACAGGCATCCTGAGAGGTGGGAGAGGCGCTGGCTGATGGACGGAGGTGACAGCTTCCGCTGCATGTGAGCGCTCCCGGAAATTACGGAGCAGGAGGAAGTGTGTGGGGATCCTGGAGGGAGAATGGACTATATATAGTCCCAGGGGCTGGGGAGGGTTCTGTCTTTATGAGATCGTGAAAACCGTATTTCAGGCTGGCAACGCCGGATACACTGGCTGCTGCTTTTCCCACCTCTGGCCTGGTGCTCGCCAATGGGGTCTGCTGTGCGTGGCCAATGCCTGTTCTTCTCCTTTCTGCCATTGCTCTTGGCTTTAACAGGGTTCAGGACTTGCCACCCCAAAATATAGCACCTTGGCATCAAGAAAACAGCAGAAGCAGGAAGGCGACATTCCCCTTCCCCTCGCCTGTCTCCCCCGAAGCAGACCATAGAAGAATTCTCGGATCTTTCTCTAAAGCAGTTCATAAGACCCTCATTCCAGAAGCATCCTCCCTATCCCTGGAGAAAAGGAGTGTCCTACAGAGACCCCAGGAAGAATCTGAATAAACAGGCCTTGCTAAGTCCCCCAGTTTATTAGCATAAGTCACACCCTCTTATCCTCCAATCCCATGTCTGCATGACTATGCATGAAGACAGTTTCCCCTGTTTCTTTGGGTCTTTATTTCTGAAGGTTCCTGTGTCACATGAAATTTATAGTAAATACATTTGTATGCTGTTCTCTTGTTGACCTGGCTTTTGTTATGGGGGTCTCAGCCACTAACTTTTTTTTTTTTTAAAGACAGAGTCTCGCTCTGTCACCCAGGCTGGAGTGCAGTGGTGTGATTTCGGCTCACTGCAACCTCTACCTCCTGGGTTCAAGTGATTCTCCTGCTCAGCCTCCTGAGTAGGTGGGATTACACAGGCACCTGCCACCACACCCGGCTAATTTTTGTATTCTTAGTAGAAGTGGGGTTTCACCATGTTGGCCAGGCTGGTCTTGAACTCCTGACCTCAAGTGATCCACTGCCTCAGCCTCCCACAGTGCTGGGATTACAGGTGTAGAACGCCACACCCAGCAGCCATGAACCTTTCCATAGGAATTACCTTCTTCTTCCTCTAGCTTCCTCAGCACTCTGCTCTCTGCAGGCGCCTCTCCTTACGCCGCATGCATAAGGACCCCTAGGGAGGTTGTACTGTGGCTGCTCACAGTCTTGTTTAAGGAATCTCTTAGGCAGAATCCTTTCTCCTGACTCTGCTTGTGTCATCTGTGAACCTCGAGGTGGCTTCCCTAGGCTGGGGCACATGCCCTGGTCCCACAGCTATGGCCCGAGTGACAGAGGTCCCAAGCATCAATCCCAGGGACTTATTCACAAGGGCATGGTGAGCGTTATTCTCAGAGGGGATGTCTACGATCAGGCCCGGGGCACTCTCTGGCTTGCCTCGCTACTACACTATGGTTTCTCTCTGCTCAGAGCCCACACTTTGCTGTGCAAACTTGTCATTTGGTAAATTATCCTGCATGCCCTGTGTTCCCTTTTTTCCCATTTTCTTGAGA